GCCATGGACGCTGCGGCCGTAGCCGACATCGAGACCAAGAAAGGTCTGGGGGGGCGGGGCGCCGCGGCGGCCTCTGGCGGGGGGAGGGGGGGCGGGGCGAGTAGTGGCCCTGGGTGGACGCCCGGTCTGTGTGCGCCCCATAGAGAAGGAGGACCTGTACGTGCTCAAGAAGGAGGAGCAGCCGGCCCTGGCGCTGGCCGAGCTGGCGGCCACCGTGCCCGAGAGCGCGCAGCCCGAGGCTGAGGCGGACGGCGAGGAGCTGGAGGGCGGAGCCATGTCAGCCATCATCTACGAGATCCCCAAGGAGCCCGAGAAGTGGGTGCTGTGCGGGTGCGGGGTGGGCCCGGGTGGAGGGGGGCCCACAGCCGCCTGGTACGTGGGAGCCCTGACGCCGGGGTCGCGTCTCCCCCACCCCCACCCCCGCCCCCAGGAGGCGGCGCAGCAAGCGGGCGCGGGTGACGGACGCCGACGGCCTGCTGGAGATGTTCCACTGTCCCTACGAGGGCTGCAGCCAGGTGTACGTGGCCCTCAGCAGCTTCCAGGTGAGGCCACCCGCTGCAGCCCGAGGCTCGCGGAGAGGCGCCCCGGCCGTGCCCACCCGGGGCCAGATGTCACCTGCCGCCTTCCCTGCTGCCCCCGGGGCCCCTTCCCCCCTTCCCATACTGCCCTCGGGGCCCCTGTCCTGCCGCCACAACCAGCCAGGGGCGCTTCCCACACAGCCTAGGTGGAGCTGCCCCGCCCCTCCCGGTGGCTCCCACAGGCTCCCTCTCCCTGGGCGCTTCGGGCGCAGCTGCACCAGGAGGCCCATCCCAGCCTCCCAGGGCCGCTCCAGCCCGTGCAGAGCTCACGGCCCAGGACGGACACAGGGTCTTGTCACAGCTGCGCACCTGCCACCGCAGGCGGCACCAGCAGGGCTTTGCGTCTGAGCCCCTGCTGTGTGTCCAGCTGCTCCACTGAGTGGAGGAATGGAAAGGAAAGCAATGGACAAGTCAGGAATTCCAGGCCAGTGGCATCTGTGAGACCCTGGCCGGCCACTGGGCCCAGCCCTGCCACTGCCCGTCTGTGAGACTCTGGCCGGTCACTGGGCCTGCTTCCCTATCCACAGACATGGCGCATAGTGGGCTCTGGGAGGGTGGAGGCCCCGGCACGGGTCTGGCTCATAGTAGGTGTTCAGCAAAGCCCTTCGGCCCGAGCGCTGCCTCTGGGAGTCGCTGAGCTGCGCGAGGGCACCTCCAGCCCAGCCAATCCCCGGTCTCCCAGCTACGCTCACCTGGCCCCGCCTTCGGGAGCCCCTGGGGTGGACCCACAGTGCCCACTGCCGCCCCTCTCCCCCAGAACCACGTGAACCTCGTGCACCGGAAGGGGAAGACCAAAGTGTGCCCTCACCCTGGCTGCGGGAAGAAGTTCTACCTGTCCAACCACCTGCGGCGACACATGATCATCCACTCAGGTTCGGCTCCGTGCTCGCTGCCCTCGGTGGAGCCAGGAGCTCCATCCGGGTCTCCCACGCGGGGGTAGGGCCCAAGCACTAGGACCATCCTTCACTGCCTTCCCAGGCCACAGCAGAGAGCTGGATGGGAAGTGGAGCAGCCGGTCCATGTGCCGCAGGCGGGGAGGCTCAGCCTATGACATCACAGCGCCGGCCCCTCAGTGACGTAGACGTCAAGTGTAGGGGTGGGTGCTGAGGCACAGTGAGGAAGGCGCCGCTTGGGACAGCCACACCCCACATCGGAGTGTCTGGGATTAAGTCCCACCTCCACTTCCTAGCCAGCTCCCTGCGCATGCGCACCTTGGAGGCAGCCGGTGATCGACGGCTCGAGTCCTGGGGCCCCTGCGCCCTCGTGGGAGACCCACATGGCGCTCCTGGCCCAGCCCTGGCTCTTGTGGGCACCCCAGGCACTCGGGAAGTGAACCCGCGGGTGGGAGATGGCTGTGTGTGTCTGCCCTTCCAATAGATGAATCTTAAAAGTCCCGAGGCGCCGGCCAGGGCTGGCATCTCCGCCCTCCGGCCACGGGCAGGTCCCACGCTGGTTCCAGGGAGAGCAGGGCCAGGGAGGCACCTCCGGGTGAGCGCGCTTCCAGCGGATTTATTTTATCTGTTTGGAAGGCGGAGGTTCCCTTCCCGAAAGCCCACAAGAGCCTGGCCTGGCCGGGGCTGGGCGGGGCCGCAGCGCCCTCAGCCCCGCGTCGCCGCCCCCCCCCCCCCAGGTGTCCGGGAGTTCACCTGCGAGACCTGTGGCAAGTCCTTCAAGAGGAAGAACCACCTGGAGGTGCACCGGCGCACGCACACCGGCGAGACGCCCCTACAGTGAGTGCCCGGCCGCCCCGAGCTCCGCGCGCGCCCGTCCGCGCCCCCACCCCCGCCTGCGCCCGCGCCCAGCCCCCACCGCTCTGCCGCCGCCCCCGCAGGTGCGAGATCTGCGGCTACCAGTGCCGGCAGCGCGCGTCGCTCAACTGGCACATGAAGAAGCACACGGGCGAGGTGCAGTACAACTTCACGTGCGAGCGCTGCGGCAAGCGCTTCGAGAAGCTGGACAGCGTCAAGTTCCACACGCTCAAAAGCCACCCGGACCACAGGCCCACCTGACCCGCGCGCGCCGCCCGCCCACCCCTATTTATTCGTTCGGACACCACGCCCGCCCGGGCCTGCCCTGCCGGAGCCCAGGGCAGCAGCCGCGGGGGCCGCCCGGAACCGCGGGCCGGAAGGAGGCGCCCCCGCCGCGCCGCAGGGCTGGGACCCCCACCCCCACCCCGGGAAGGTCCTCCCACCTCGCCCGGTCGCGTCCCCGGCTCCAGAGCTGGCGCCAGGAGCCGAGCTGCTGGAACTGTGTCAAGAGCAGAGGGAGAGATTAAAGTGCGAGAAAGGAGGTGCCCCTCCCCTAGGCCTGGCTGATTGGAGGGGCTGGGGGCCCCACCTACCTGTTCCCGCCCTGCGCCTGCGCCTGCACCTGCTCGGCACCTGGGCTTGGCCGCACGGAACACGCCCCGCTCCCGCCCGCTCCAGGTGGGGAGCCCACGAGGCCACCAGGCGTCTCCCAGGAGCCCGTGTCCACCCCTGATCCCGCAGACCCCGCGTCCGCCCCGGAGGAGCGGGGGAGATGTTGAGGAAGCCCTTAGCTGGGGGCGCCGTGCAGGGCAGGGGTCTCAGGGAGGTGGCCTTCACGCAAAGGCCAGGGTGACCCAGAGGCTCGGCCCCCGGAGGCAGCTTTGCGGGGTGGATCTCGGGCCGAGGTGGAAGCTGTGGAAGCGGCTCAGCGTGTTCCCGGAACGGGAGGCGAGGGGGAGGCGGGAGCTGGCCCCATTCCCCGGAGGAGCATGCTGAGGCTGCCGCCTCCCGCGAGCCGTCAGGGACAAGGGCGGGGAGGGGCTCGAGGCCGCCAGGGGGCGCACGAGCCGCGTGGGCCCTGGTGGCCGCAGCCGCGAGCCCGGGCACGTGCCCAAGGCAGCCCCGCGGCGCCACGCGCGGAATGGCCCCGCCGGCCCCGCCTCGGTTTCCGCCGGGGACCCGGGCTGAGTCCGCGGGGAGCGGAAGGCGCGGCCCCCAGCCCCGGGCCGTTCCCATGGGAACCGCGGCGGGGGTCTGCGGGTCCGGAAGGAGCTCCGCTCCCGGCACAGCTCTCCCTCCGCGACCGGAGCCCGGAGGAACACGGCGCGGGGGTCCTCTCGCGGTCCCCCCGCCGCGAGCCCGAGAGGGGCCACCCGGGGACCCGCAGCGCCACCGCCCCGGCTGCGCGGGCCGCCGCGATTGGCCCTGCGCCTCAGTCCGCGCGGCGGCCCCCAATGCCGCGCACGCTCCCATTGGCTGCATCTCCGGGGCGCCTTCCACCGATTGGCGCTCTCGAGGGCCGGCCCTGATTGGCCAAGCCCGGCTGTCGTCTCTGCTGTCGCCTCTCCGGGCCGTGCAGGGACGGGGGAGAGGCTGGGGACCGCGACGCCAGCGGGGTCCGGGCCCGTCGAGCCGCTGTCTGTGGTGCTGAATCGGCCCTCGGAGGCGCCCCGGCCCCAGCCCGCACCTGCTCCCGCGCCCTGGGCCGCCCCGACGTACACGCACGCGAGCGCCCGCGTCACCCACGTAGCCCCCACCCCACGGGACGGAGGAACCATCTCGAGCCCAAAAAGCCAGGACAGATGCGCTGACCCGAGTCTTCCGGAGCCTGCGGGGCTCCAGCGGGGTTGTCTGGGATCCTGAGCCTTAACCCCATTCAACCTGGCACCTGGAGAGGGTGTATCCGCCTCCATCTTTTTTTTTTTTCTTAGATTTTATTTATTGAGAGGGAGTGACAGAGAGAAAGGTCTTCTATCCGCTGGTTCACTCCCCAAATGGTCACACTGCCGGAGCTGAAGCCAGGAGCCAGGAGCTCCATCCGGGTCTCCCACACGGGTGCAGGGGCCCAAGCACTTGGGCCATCTCCCATTGCTTTCCCAGGCCACAGCAGGGAGCTGGGTGGGAAGTGGAGCAGCCGGGACTCGAACCGGCGCGCATAAGGGATGCTGGTGCCACAGGCCGAGGATTAACCTACTGCGCCACAGCACCGGCCGGGAACCCCACTTTTTGAACCACACAGGCACGGGGGTTCCTTCAAAACCCATAGAGTCCTAGCTTCATCCCACGGACAGGCTACGGCCAGTGCAGCCCCCCACGCCCACCCCGCGTCTCTGGTCCCCTCACTCCCGTCGGGGAAAAAGATCATGGGGTTTCTCTTGGCCCTTCCGGTTTGACGGAAGAAAGGCCGCCGAGGAGGGGCGCCCGGGAAGGAAGAGGGTCCGGGGTGGGGGTGGGGTGGGGCGGGGCCGCCCCCAGCGCGCCGCGCCCGGGGGACAGCGGAGCCCCGGCCGGCGCGCGCGCGCATCCACCTGCCGCGCCGTCGGGCGCCGCGAGCAGGCGGAGCTCGGGCGCCGCAGCCAATGGGCGACGCCGGCGGTGGCAGCTGCCGCTATAAAGGGCTGGGGGCGGCGGCGGCGCGGCCCAGAGCGCGGAGCGCGCAGCGCGGGCCGGAGGGAGGGCGGGCGGGCGGGCGAGGGGAGACGGCTGGACGCCCGGGACCGCACAGGCCGGACCGAGGGGCGGCGGCGGCGGCGGCAGGCGGAGCGTCGCGATCTCTGTTGGGAAGCGCAACTTCCCCGGGCCCCGCGGGGCCGCGCAGGGTGGGGGGGTGACCCCAGCCCCGCGCTCGCTCCCTCCGTCCATCCTCGGCCGCCCTCAGCCACCCCGGGGCCCGGTCATCAGCCCGCGCATCCCCGGGCTCGGGCCCGTCCTTGGCCCTCGAGGGAGCCGCCGCCTTCACCGCCACCTCTGCAGCGGCCGCATCAGAGGCCGCCCGGGCAGGACCCAGGCGTGAGCATCGGGCGCCCCCCCTAGGAGTGCACGACCCCCGGAGCCGCCCTCAACACGGACCGCGCCCGCCGGGCACACAAGAATGGTCACTGTAGGTATTCCCCTGTCGCCGAGAGGGAAGCAGGGCGGAAAGGGGTTGGGTCCAGGATCCGGCGGAGATGGGGGGGGGTAGGACCAGGCCTAGGTAGGCCCGGGTGGGGGGGGTAGGACCGTGCCTTCGGGCCTGAGAGTGGGCAGGGCCGCACCCAGAGTACCCGGGGCGCCTAAAGCCTGGCCAGAGAGGTCCTGGGGGGCCAGGCTGCGACCCGAGGGGGGGCGCCCTGCGCCGCCCTGGAGGCGGCGTTGCCCCCTCTCCAGCAGGCCTGGTGGGGGAGGGGACGCGGCGGCGGCGGACGCCTCCTGCATCCAGGCCCAGACCCCGCAGGGCCGCCCAGGCAAACGCAGGGCCACATCACTGGTGCTGGGCCAAGCCAAGGCACCAAGGCGTTCCCGAGAGCCCCCACCCCCCGGCTGGGGGGCAACGGGTGGCGTCGGATCGCGCGCTCCAGGCCCTCGGCCGCGCCCGGGAAGCGGGCGTCTCGTCCTCGAGCCCGTCGACCTTGCGGCAAGCGGGGAGGGGAGAGGAGGGGGCGCGCCCGGAGGCCCCGCGGGCCCTGCCGCCGCCGCCGCCGCGTCCCTTTGTTTCTCGGCGCTTCTTCGCGGGCCGGAGCCTCGCGCGGGCGCCTCGGGCTGCGGGGAGGGGGAGGGGAGAGGAGGGCCCGCCGGCGGCGCGAGGCGGGGGGGGGGGGGGTGGGGTGGGGATGGTGGTGGTGTCGGGCGGCTGGCCGCCTCCCGGGCCCCCGCTCCCCGGGGCATGGAGTGAGGGGCTGAGGCGACCCTCCCCCCGTGGACAGGTCCTGGCGCCCCACCCTGCCAGGGCTCTGGGCCGCGGGGTGACCTTGAGCGCGCCCGCCCGCGCCGCTCGCTCCGCGCCGGCTGCTTTCAGCAGCCACGGAGCTGGTCAGCTCCCGAGCGCACGGCCCCGCCCGCCGGGGCCCCGCCCGGCCACGCCCATCTAGGCCCCGCCCCCCGGGGCCCCGGGGGCCCGGCCTCGCCCGAGCCCTCGGATTTCCACTCGGCAGCCCGGGCGGCTCCCGGGGGCGGGGCCGGCCGGCTCTGGCCCCACCCCGGCTCCACCCCCACCCCTGCCGCGCGACTCCGCTCCCCGCGCCGCCGCGCGTCCTTTGTCTGGTCCCGGCGCCCGGGCCTCCCTCTTCCGCTCTTCCCAGCTCGCGAGCTGTGCGTGTGCGTCTCGGTGCACCGTGCGTGCTTGGGCGCCTCTCGTCGCCGTCGGGGCCGGCACAGGGGCCAGGGGCTGGAGGCGGTGGGGGGGGGGGGGGATGCGCCGCGCTCCCTCGAGGGCTGGGCCTCTCCCCTCCTGGAACCTGGGACCCGCCCACCTGGCTCTGAGAACGGAGGCCCCAGAGACCCAGCGCACCTGCTGTGTGACCTCAGGCCACTTGCTTGCCCTCACTGAACCTCAGGCTGCTCAGCCGGGTCTGGGGACTCGGGAGCCCCACTCCTGTCCGGCGTTCCCCAGGCGTCCTCGGATCTGCTGTTCTCCCTCCGCCCCCGTTTGAAAACGGGAAAGCAGGGTACAATGCAGAAGAGGGTGTGGTCAGGGGTCAGAGGTCACCCGAGGCCTGGGTACTCCGCTGGATGAGGCTGGCTGGGGGGGGTGCTCAGACTGCGAGACAGTGGGAGACGGGCCTGCTCACTCGGCACCACGTGGTGGCCCAGCGTTACCAGGCATAGCCGCTCAATGCCCTATTGTCGCCCGTATCCAGGCATCTGTCGCCAAGGCTGGGGCCTGGGGGTGCAGCTGGGGGCCACCGGGGTCAGACCCTGGAGCGGCTGCAAAGCAGGCGGCCTCAGGTGTGTTGGGAGTAGAACCCTTGTGTGAGATGCTGTGGAAGAGAGGGAGGGGAGTGACGAGGGGAGGGGCTCAGAGAGACCTGGAGACCCTGGGGGGAAGGGGCCCTGGCGTGCACCGGCCTCTCTGCCTGTCCTTTTTTTCCCCTAAGATTTACTTATCTAAAAGGCAGAGTGCCAGAGAGAGAGAGAGATTTTGTATGTGCTGGTTCACTCCTCCAGTGCCTGCAGTGGATCAGGCTGGGCCAGGCGGCAGGCAGGACCCGGAGCTCCATCCGGGTCTCCCACGTGGGTGGCGGGGGCCCGAGCACTTGGGCCGCCCTCCGCTGCTTTCCCAGGCAGCCGCGACTTGACCCTCGGCCCTGGTACAGGGTGTCACCTCTGCCTGTCTGTGTTTGAACCCCGCTGTTTCCCGTCTGACCGACCCCTCCCGCCCAGCCCTGGGCCAGCCCTCGATGGACCCTGGATGCCCGTACTGCCGCCGTCCAGGGCCACGCGTTTACTGCAGGCTGGAGCAGGGCGGGGCGGCCCCTGCCAATCTGATCCCCATTATCGGCTCAGCCGGCTCAGTGAAGAAAACCGGCTTCAGCTAAGCCCTGGCGCAGCCGGGAGGGAGAAGGGGTGGCGGCTGGGATGCGAGGCTGGGCCTCCGGTAGTGGGGTTGGACCGGCCCAGTCACCTCTTTTTTTTTTTTTTTTTAAAGACTTATTTAATTTATTTGAAAGGCAGAGTTACAGAGAGAGCGGGGAGAGAGAACTTCCATATGCGGGTTCACTCCTCAAATCTCTGCACCAGCCAGGGCTACGCCAGGGGCCTGAAACTCCATCTGGGTCTCCCGTGTGGGTAGCAGCGGCCCAAGCACTTGGGCTGCCTTCCACTGCTCTCCCAGGCGCGGTAGCAGGGAGCTGGGTTGGAGCAGCCGGGACAGTAGTAACAGGTGCTCAGATGGGACGCTGGTGGTGGCTTAACCGCCGGCGCCACCACCCCTGCCCCAGGCACCTCTTACCTCCATCCACGTCGGGGTCGGCCTTGGGAGGAGAGGAGCCGGTCACTCAGTAGTCATCTGGGGCCATCAGATCAGAGGTCCCACACTGACTCCATCACCTCTCCCTCCTCCTGTCACCCTGGGGCAGGCAGCGTCCGCCGGTCCCTGTGGCTGTGGGAGACACGTTCCATGCTTAGCACACGGTGAACGCTCGGTGCACGTGGGGGTCTAGAGGCACCGGAGGCAGTGGCTTGTCCAAGTCCAGGGCTCCCCACCTCCCCAAGGAAATGTCGTCGGCTCCTCACAGAGCTCTCTCTCGCCGAGCCTGCATGGAGCTGAGTCCATCTGCATGTGGGGTGTGTGTCACCCCCTTCTAGGGAGGTGACATTGTCATCATCGGAGGACAGCAGCGAGGAGCCGGGGCCTGCGGCTGGCGCGGGGCTGCCTTCAAAAAATCTTTGTTGACTGGATTGAGTGGAATCAGCCCATAGAATGCGTCTATTTGTTTGCTTTTGGAAAAGCAGTGAGTTGGGTGAGGCAGAGAAAAGAGACAGAGAAAGATCTTCCACCCGTTGGTTCACTCCCCGAATGCCAGCAACAGCCAGAGCTTGACCAGGCCAAAGCCAGGAGCCCAGAACTCCATCCGGGCCTCCCATGTAGCTGGCAGGGACCACGTACCTGAGCCACACTGCCTGCTGTCTGTTAGCAGGGATGTTAGAATGGGGGGCGGAGCTGGGACTTGAACCCAGGCACTTCCCCGTGGGATGCGGGTGTTCCCAGCCCTGTGTTGAGCACTGACCCCAATGCCTGCCCCGATGGAGTGGGCTTCCGTGTTGGGACACCCAGGGGGCAGCACAGAGTAGGAGCTTATTTTTTGTTTGCTGTTATTATTTTTTTTTTAAGAGGAGTCTTCACAAAGTTAATGGAAAGTATTATGAAGAAACTATGGATGGAGTCCAAAATGGTTTTGCATGACAAGACAATTCCATTTTCCAGATTTTGTATTTTTAAGATTTATTTAAGGGGAGAGAGAGAGAGAGGGAGGGAGGGAGGTCTTCTGTTTACTGGTTCACTCATCAAATGGCCACAGCATCCAGGGCTGAAGCCAAGACCATCCAGGTCTCCCACGCAGGTGCAGGGGCCCAAGCACTTGGGGCATCTTCTGCGGCTTTCCCAGGCCACAGCAGGGAGCTGGATTGGAAGTGCAGCAGCAAACAAAGGTCTCTGATGATGGGATTCCAGGGTTGCAAGTGGCAGCTGAGTTGGCCGCTCCAATGCGTAGGGAGTTTGGTCTGATGTAGCCAACCCTCAGTTTGTAGTTAGGCACTTGGTGACACGTGAATGTTCTGAGACCAAGACACAGATCTATGGAGAGAGCATTGCTGCACCAGTGGCAGACATTACTAATCAACCCAGTGTGCACCACCTTTAAGCCTGGATGCAACCTCAGAGCGCCCTTTCCAGGCTGTCGCTCTCAGATGACTGGAGATGTAGGGTGCCCTCTCTGCCATCCTTTTTTGAAAAAGCAAAAATTATTTTGTTTGCAAGGCAAGGCAGAGAGATGGACGGACAGAAATCTCCCACCCACTGGGGTTCACTCTCCAAATGCCCACAATAGCCAAGGAAGGGCGAGACTGAAGCCGGGAGCCAGAAACTCCATCTGGGTTTCCGGCATGAACGACAGAGCAGCCCGGACTTGAACTTGGCAATGCGATATGGGACGCCACTGTCGCAAGCCGCAGCCTAACCTGCTGCACCACAACACTAGCCCCATAATTCCATTTTTTAAACTTTCTGAAGTGTCTTCATAGAGGCCCAGAGCTCAGATTACCCCCGAGGACACACAGCTCCAAGGGGCAGGGCCACCTCAAGGCGTTGGCCGCAGTGGTAACAGCTCCAGCATCAAACAGACCTGGATTTGACATCGAGTTCCCCATTCATATTACCCCATGTCTCTCAGTGTGTAAAATGCAGAATTATGTTCTTATTGCAAGATTTTTGGAGAATAAGAGAAACAGTGCCGTGAATTACTCCCCACAGTGCCAGGCACACAGTAGCTGCCCAGTGAACTGGAATGAGCAGGGATGATTGACAAGCGCACTTGCGCTGTCCATGACTGTGCCCATGGCAGACATTGCTAGCTGATCCCAGAGCACTTCTTGCAACCTCAGAGATCCTTCCCGCGGCCACTGTGCCTGGAAGTTGGAACTTGGTGCACAGCAGAGCAGAGGTCCCGAAGCCTTGAGAGGGACACCTGAGGACGCACACTTGGGGAATATCAGAGCTGGCACCAGTCTGGCTTGGCAGTGAAAGCTGAAAATACAAGTTCTGGGTCAGAAAACTCCCGTGCGTGTCTCTGTGCCACTGTTGTTCACGTGCGGCGTGATTTGGGGAAGCCATAAGAATATCCCTTAGCTCTTGAGTTTCGAGAGTAGCCGTCCCCTATGCAAGGTGGTTGTAACAAGGTGGTTGGGTTTGGTAAGTGGGCTGCCTTGCAGGCAGAGGCTGGCATCCACTAGTGCCCACTATTTGAGGACGATTATGGCATCGGATCTTCAGTCAGAGCCATGAGCTTGCAATGCTGGCCACCTGTTGGCTTTTTCTGATTCTGTGCCCACAACAGACATTGCTAATCAATCACAGTGGTCTTTTCTGCTGAAACTGGGTGTGGCCTCTGACTCCTTCATTTACCCCTCTAGGAGGACCTGACCAATCAATCTGAGCTTTCAAGTGAGGGCAGAGATAAGGAAAGCTGGCTACTTGAACTTCCTGTGGCCACGACAGACAGTGCCAATCAATTCTCACACTGCTGAACCTAGATGCAGCTTTAAGATTCTCCCATGGGGACAGGCGTTACCTGTTAGGTCACCTGCATCCATATCAGTGTCTGGTTGGAGTCCAGACTTCTCCCTTTCCAGTCCAGCTTCCTGCCCATGCATACCCTGGGAGGCAGCTCAAGTCCTTGGATCCCTGCCACCCAGGTGGGAGACCCTGATGACGTCCTGGTCTCCTGCCCTTGGTCCCACCCAGCCCTGGCTGTTGCAGGCATCTAGGGGGTGAACCAGCAAACTAAAGATCAATCTGTCTGTCCGCCTTCCAAATAAAATGAAAATACATACGTCCATACATGATTTTTTTTAAAGCGTGCTCCGATAGCTGGCCCTTCAGCTGGTCATCACTGATTTGCTGCGTAACCTTAGCCAAGAACTTCTTTGCCTCCAAGTCTCAGAATTTCCATGCATCCTAGCAAAATGAACTTCTACCTTTTTTTTTTTTTAATTTTTTGACAGGCAGAGTGGACAGTGAGAGAGAGAGAGACAGAGAGAAAGGTCTTCCTTTGCCGTTGGTTCACCCTCCAATGGCCGCCGCGGCCGGCGCGCTGCAGCCGGCGCACCACGCTGATCCGATGGCAGGAGCCAGGAGCCAGGTGCTTCTCCTGGTCTCCCATGGGGTGCAGGGCCCAAGCACCTGGGCCATCCTCCACTGCACTCCCGGGCCACAGCAGAGAGCTGGCCTGGAAGAGGGGCAACCGGGACAGAATCCGGCGCCCCGACCGGGACTAGAACCCGGGGTGCCGGCACCGCTAGGCGGAGGATTAGCCTAGTGAGCTGCGGCGCCGGCCGAACTTCTACCTTTGAGAGTCTCTGTGTGAACCGTAGAGTTATGAGTGTGCCTCCTGGACACAGACGCAGACAGTGCTAGAGAAAGAACCAGCAAAGATTCGGCAGTGTATACAAACGAAGCTACAGCGTGCATGGTCAAGGTCGGTCTGTCTTGGAAGCTTGGTTTAATACTTGGGAAATCAATGAACATAATTCATGGTATTAATGTATTAAAGCTACAAACCCATTTTAATAGATGTCGAAAGTGTTCAATAAAGTTCAGCATCCATTGTTTAAGAAGAAATCTTTTGCAAATAGAGATTGTTTGATTGATTTGAAAGGCAGAATGACACAGAGAGAGAGGGAGAGATCTTCCTCTCACTGATTCACTCTCCTAAATGGCCACAACAGCCAGGGCTGGGCCAAGCCGGAGCCAGGAGCTTCTTCCAGGTCTCCCTCGCAGGTGCAGCGACCCAAGCCCTTGGGCCATCTTCCACTGCTTTCCCAGGCCAGCAGCAGGGAGCTGGACGGGAAGTGGAGCAGCTGGGATGCTGTATGGGATGGAGCAGTATGGGATGCTGGCACTGCATTGGTGGATTTACCCGCTACGCCACAGCGCCGGCCCCATGCATTTACTTTTTTTTTTTTTTTTTTTGGACAGGCCGAGTGGACAGTGAGAGAGAGAGGCAGAGAGAAAGGTCTTCCTTTGCCGTTGGTTCACCCTCCAATGGCCGCTGCAGCCGGCACACCCCGCCTATCCGAAGGCAAGAGCCAGGTGCTTTTCCTGGTCTCCCATGGGGTGCAGGGCCCAAGCACCTGGGCCATCCTCCACTGCACTCCCGGGCCACAGCAGAGAGCTGGCCTGGAAGAGGGGTAACTGGGACAGAATCCGGTGCCCCAACTGGGACTAGAACCCTGTGTGCCGGCGCCACAAGGCGGAGGATTAGCCTATTGAGCTGCGGCGCCGGCTTTTTTTTTTTTTTTTTTTAATTTTTTTTTCCCATGCATTTACTTTTAGAAACAATTTTGGAGGCAGGCACTGTGGGTTAAGCTGCCGCTGGCAACTCTAGCATCCCCTAGGGCGCAGGCCTAGCTGTTCTACTTCAAGGTGTCCAGACCCCAAGACACCTGCACGCCATCTCCTCCAGAGGCCATGCCCCCAGTGAGCTCATTATCTCACCAGGCCCCACCTCTTAAGGGTCTCACCACCTCCCAATGCCACCAAGCTGGGGACCACGCCACTGAGAGCGCTTGGGCAAAATATTTGAACAGTATCCAGAGTGTAACCTATGGCGCCTATGTATGGAATCTGTCACAGCAAGAGTCCGTCAGGTGCATTTTGTTTTGTTTTGTTTTGTTTTCCTTGTTATTTTCAGATAAATGGAGGGGTTATTAAGAATAATTTGGCCGGCGCCTCGGCTCACTAGGCTAATCCTCCACCTAGCGGCGCTGGCACACCGGGTTCTAGTCCTGGTCGGGGCGCCGGATTCTGTCCCGGTTGCCCCTCTTCCAGGCCAGCTCTCTGCTGTGGCCCGGGAGTGCAGTGGAGGATGGCCCAGGTGCTTGGGCCCTGCACCCCATGGGAGACCAGGAGAAGCACCTGGCTCCTGCCATCGGATCAGCGCGGTGCGCCGGCCACAGCGCACCGGCCGCGGGGGCCATTGGAGGGTGAACCAACGGCAAAAGGAAGACCTTTCTCTCTGTCTCTCTCTCTCACTGTCTACTCTGCCTGTCAAAAGAAAAAAAAAAAAAAGAATATATAGGGGCTGGTGTCGCGGCTCAGGCCCTCATTGGCGTAACTTAGAAGGCTGCTGCGGCCGGCCATCTGGCGTTGGTTAGGACACGGATTGAGACGCCTGCTTCCGGTGTGTGTGTGCCCGGGTTTGAATCCCACTTCTGCGCCTGATTTCAGCTCACTGGTCCCCTGGGAGGCAGCAGGCGACGGCGCAGGTAGACTCAGGCGATGCCATGCCGCTGAGAGAGCTGGATTCTGTCCCCAGCCTCTGGCGTCAGCCTGGCTCAGCGTGGCCTGTTGGGAGCATTTGCAGAATGAACCAGTGGGTGTGAGTGCTTTCTGTCGGTGTTCCTCTCTCTTCAAAAATAAATGCAGTTAGTGGAAAATTCAAATTAAAATATGAATATATGGGGCTCGTGTTGTGGCCCCGTGGGTTTGAAGCCACCACCCGTGGTGCTGGCTGGGCAGCCTCTGTTGGAGAGACTGGTTGGGATTTTGGTTCTCTGCTCCCCATCCAGCTCTCTGCTGTGGTCTGGGAAGGCGGCAGATGATGGCCCAAGTGCTTGGGTCCCTGCACCCATGTGGAGACCCGGATGGAGTTCTCCTGGCTTCTGCCTGGCCCAGAGCTGGCTGTCGTGGCCACTGGGGGGAGTGAAGTAGTGGATGGAAGATCTTTCTCTCTCGTTTCCTCTGTCACTGTGCCTTTTGAATCAATGGTAAATTAAAGATAAACTTATGTTGGTTCCAAAACCATGCATGTTATTTATTTATTTGAGAAGTAGAGTTACAGAGAGAGAGAGAGAGAGAGAGAGAGAGAGAGAGGTCTTCCATCACTGGTTCACTCCCCAAATGGCTGCAGTGGCCTGAGCTGTGCCAATCCACAGCCAGGAGCTTCTTCCAGGTCTCCCACGCAGGTGCAGTGGGCCTCTCAAGCACTTGGGCCATCTTCTGCTGCTTTCCCAGGTGCATTAGCAGGGAGCTGGATCAGAGGAGGAGCAGCTGGGGCTTGAACCAGCGTCCATGTGGGATGTCGACGCCACAGGCGGGGGATTAACCTTCTGAGCCAGAGCGCTAGCCCATAATAATAATAATAATAATAATAATAATAATAATTGTTATTATTTTTAAACAAAGGCCCTGATTGTCCCTCGTGTGAGTCAGGGCCCCTGATGCCCGCTGGCCCCGGCGCGGGGACTGGCGGTGAGCCGGCGTGTCCTGTTGTCTTCAGCAGATACTGGGGGCCATGGAGTCTCAGGTGGGGGGGGGCCCGGCCGGCCCAGCCCTGCCCAACGGGCCACTCCTCGGCACAAACGGGGCAACTGACGACAGCAAGACCAACCTCATCGTCAACTACCTGCCCCAGAACATGACCCAGGATGAGTTCAAGAGTCTCTTCGGCAGCATTGGTGACATCGAGTCCTGCAAGCTGGTTCGGGACAAGATCACAGGTGCGGGGGCTGGCAGGTGCAGGACAGGTGGGACGGGGCAGGCGCGACCCTGGGGGGCGGGGATCTCCTGGCTCCTGGGAATGGGCAGGTGCGTGGAGGGGAGCTGGGTGTTTTGAGAGGCTCAGCTCCGGGCAGTGACGTCACCACCCTGTCCCACCCACAGGGCAGAGCCTAGGCTATGGGTTCGTGAACTATTCGGACCCCAGCGATGCGGACAAAGCCATCAACACCCTCAACGGCCTCAAGCTGCAGACGAAGACCATCAAGGTCAGTCTCCACCACCCCCCCCACCGTCCCCGGCTGCTGCCCCGGGCCTGGTCACCACGTGGCGGGTAGCGGAAGGGCTTTGCCTCTCGGATGCTCAGGGCCCTCACCTGTCAAGGCCTTCGGGGAGCCGGTGGGAGAGGGGGTTCAGAGTCAGCCAGGCCCAGTGACAGGGGTCCTGTAGGCGGCCCCCTCCTGCCTTTGTCCTGGAAATAGGGGGTGGGGGGGCCTGTCTGCCATCTGGAGCCTAATCAGGCTCTGGGAGGGGTGGGATTAGGGGGCCCCTCCCCCACCTTTGTGTGCCACCCCTCCCCCACAGCCTCCCCCTTCGGGCTGCTGCAGCTGGGACCCTGTGAGCCAGGTTCCCTGGGGGGGGGGCGTCACCATGGAAACGCCCCCTCTGTAGGTTTGCCCCCGGGGGTGTTTGGGCTCCCCAGGGGGAGGTCGGGGTCAGGGGTGCCCATCTGGCCCCCTGTTTGCTTCCAGGAGCAGAGGCACAGGAATCCTCTCTGACGGGGGCCCGGGAAGGGGTGGGGAGAGGGGCGTGGACCTGCTGCCCACTGTTCTGTCCCCCGGGGTCCACCATTGACCCGGGTGTCTCACTGGAGGTGACTGTGCAGGTAGCCTGAGTCCCCCCCCGCCCCGCCCCTCGGCTCCCTGGGCGCCGCCCCAGGTGTCGGAAGGATCCCGTGTTTATCTGGCACACACCTGGCCTGCGGGGTGGGTGTGGGTCCCTGAGGCCCGCTGGGCTGGGTCGAGTGTGACGCTGGCTGCTCGGGTGGTGGGGAGTCGGTGTGGGGTTCCACGGCTCTTCCCGGCATTCTCCAGCACCACCCCCCCAGCCCTGCGCGGCTCTGTCTGGCTTCATCCCTGGGGTAGTGCCAAGGGCAGTGCCGCGTGGCCTTGTGGGTATCTCTGTGCGTGTCTGGGTCGCCGTGTGGCCTGGTGGGCGCTGACTGGGGGCTCCGGCCCAGTGGGACCCAAATCCTTCCAGCCCCTCAAGTCCAGTGTGGGGGCTCAGGGAGGACTTGGGGTCCCAGACTCCAAAACCCACGCAGGAGCTCAGGACCACCCCCCACCCCCCACCCCTGCCTGCCTGAATCTCACCCCAACACCAACCCATCGGGCAAATCCTCACCCCTGAGGCTCAGCCTAGGAGGGAGACAGAAAATGTCAGATGCATGGAAAAATTTGTTTATTTGAAAAGCAGTGACAGAGAGAGGGAGAGAGAGAGAGAGAGAGAGAGAGAGAGAGAGAGAGAGAGAGAGGTGTCTTCCATCCACTGGTTCACTCCCCAAACAGCTGAGGCTGGGCCAGACGCAAGCCAGGAGCCTGGAGCTCCACCCACAGGTGTGCAGGGGCCCAAGCCCTTGGGCTGTCACCTGCTGCTTTCCCAGGCCACAGCAGGGAGCTGGATTGGACCTGGAGCAGCTGGGACTCGAACCAGTGCTCTGATACGGGATGCCGGCTGTACCACGGCGATGTGGCCCCCACCCTTTCTTAACCAGCTGCAAAGAGTCCTATTGTTGGGCTGGACACATTATTAATGACACCAATCGGATAATTGTTCGAAAACGTGCATAATTCAACACTGAGAGAGGAGCTTTGAGGAAGTGGTGAGGGGCTGGGACCGCCTTCCACTGCGGGGGGGGGGGGACTGGAGGTTTCTGCTGAGACCTGGAGAGGGAGGAGGGGAGATGCAAAGGCCCTGTGGTCCGAGGGCGCCCGGGGTGTTAGGGGATCAGGGAGGAAACCCCTGTGGCTGGAACCGATCGCGCGGGGAGGCAGAGTGGGGGAGATGAAGGCAGCAGTGATGGGTGTGCAGGGCCTGGGGGGGCCGCAGGGAAGGAAACTGTGGCTTCATTCACTGCTGGGGCAGGTGGGAGCCATGGAGGGTTCGGAGCAGGCGCAGGCACCTTCGAGCCGCTGGGGCCGGGGGAACAGACTGGGGGTGGGCAGGGCAGCAGGGCTGGTCCACAGTGAGGACTCGAGCTGGCTGGGTTTAATGTGGCTTGGAAATGGGGGGGGGTGGTCCTTGAGGTCCCGGAGGGGGGGCATCTGACCCCAGGGGTGCGGCTCCTTTGACCTCCGTTGTCGGGGTCACGGCGCCCGCAGTGGCAGAGTGAGGGGTGCCCGCTGCGTGCTCCAGCCAGGAGCCGCGCGCTCTCCGTCCTCACTGCGTCCGCCCCGCCCCCCCAAGGTGTCCTACGCCAGGCCCAGCTCCGCATCCATCCGGGACGCGAACCTGTACGTCAGCGGGCTGCCCAAGGCCATGAGCCAGAAGGAGATGGAGCAGCTCTTCTCCCAGTACGGCCGCATCATCACCTCGCGCATCCTGGTGGACCAGGTCACAGGTCAGCCAGCGGGGCGGGGGCGGGCTGTGCGCGCATGCGCGCGCCCCGGGCAGAGGGGCGAGGGGCGAGGGGCGAGGGGCCGGGTCCTCACGCGCCCCCGCCCCCCCGGCAGGAGTCTCTCGGGGCGTGGGGTTCATCCGCTTCGACAAGAGGATTGAAGCCGAGGAGGCCATCAAAGGCCTGAACGGGCAGAAGCCGCTGGGCGCCGCCGAGCCCATCACGGTCAAGTTCGCCAACAACCCGAGTCAGAAAACTGGGCAGGCCCTGCTCACCCACCTGTACCAGTCGTCCGCCCGGCGCTACGCGGGCCCCCTGCACCACCAGACACAGCGCTTCCGGTGAGCACCCCCGGGCCCCCCAGGCCGGCAGCCCCACACCTGCCCGGGCTCGTATACAGCAGGTGCTCAATGCATGCTGGCCACTGCCCTTGGCCTCCGTCTCCTCCTCTGGGACAAATAGTGCTAAATTATTTTAGGAGTGCTTCCTGCATGCCCCTGTTACAGACAGGGACTCGAACCCAGAACCCTGAGTCGAAGCTCAGAGCGGGGACAACGGAACCCCTGTCTTTGTGGGCCCCTGGGTGGCTATGGCCCCCACCCCCACTCGAAGAGGGCTGCGGTCATTACTGTCCCCTTTGTTAGGGTGAGCCCCCCAGAGAGCCCCGCCCCCACCAGGGGCCCAGACGGACCGCTGGCTGCCTGGGAGGGGTGGAGGAGGCCACCGGTGCAGACTGGGCAGCGGCCGGGCAGCCGAGAGGCGGGCCCGAGTGACCGCTGTTCCGTGCCAGGCAGTGTCCAGCCGGGCGGGGAGCAGGCAGGCGGGAGGGCGGGGGCAGGGCTGTGCTGTGCTGAGTGGGGGCAGGGAGGGCAGGCTGCCGGCCACGTCACAGCCTGGGGGCGTGTCCAGAGGCCTCCACTGACCCCTCCCCTTCCCCTGCTTCTGCCTCCACAGGCTGGACAATCTACTCAACATGGCCTACGGGGTCAAGAGGTAACAGTGCCCCCGCCCCGCTGTCCCCACCCGCTCGCTGGCCCTCCTGGGACCCTGCCCCTGTGGGTCCCGCTCCCCAGCCTGCGCCCGCCGTGTCTGGGAGGGACCTGGCCATTGGGAGCTTTGGCATCAGGCGCACCTGCGTGTAGAGAGAGCCGCCGAGCAGCTGGGGGCCTGGGGGCCATCCGTGGCCCTCTCCCTTCCTCTTCTGCACCCCCGTGACAGGCCCACAGCGTGGCCCAGGACACAGCCATGCCCCCTGCTTCCCACTTTGAGGTCCTCGCCGCCCCTACTGACCCCACAGAAAGCCAGGGCGGGCCTTGAGGGCCCCCTGCTCTCCTGTCCACCTCCTTGACCTCACGGAAGTCCCCAGCCTGCTGCTGCGTAATGAGCTGCCCAGCACCTGTGGAGTGATGGGCGCCTGGCCTGGGACTGGGGACGCCGTGCGGCTGGGCCACACTTGTGCCTTGTGGGGGATGGAGTCAGTGCTCAGTAGAGGGTGGTCGGGGCTGGGGTGAGTGTCTCTCGGGGTCTCAGCTCCATGGGCAGAGGCAGGCACATGGGCGGTGGTCACGTCGGTGGGGAGCAGGAGAGGGGGCGATGGACTCCCCACCGGGAGCGACCTCAGTGCTGAGGCCAGGAGACGAGGGGCGGGGCGGGAGTGGGGGTCCCCTTCCCCTAGCCAGAGCGGCCTGTGCCAAGACCCGGGGAGGGGATGAGCCGTGAGGCCCTCAGACCCCCGAGGTCTGACACCACTGAGCCACGTGAGTGCAGCCAGTTCGGCACGTTCATTAATTCAGTCGACAAACGTCCCATTCATTCATTCATTCATTCAACAAACGTCTCTCAGTGTTTGCTTGGTGCTGTTGTGGGGACAGGGCACAGCAGGGAAGATGGAGTAGCCCCCCCTTTATCCATGGGGGATACGTTCCAGCCCCCCCAGCATGGATGCCCAAAACCAGGAATGACTCCAAACTGCACGGGGCCATGCCTGTTCCCTTTTGCCTACACAGATTTAATGCCTTTTCCAGCTTGGTAAACTACTTTTTTCCCCTTAATTTTATTTATTTAAAAGGCAGAGTTAGAATAACAACCAACAGAGAGAGAGCTAGATCTTCCACCTGCTGGTTCACCCTCAGATGCCTGCAACAGCCAGGGCTGATTCAGACCAAAACCAGGAGCCAGGAGCTCCATCCGGGTCTCCCACGTGGGTGCAGGGGCCCAAGGACTTGGGCCATCTTCCACTGCTTTCCCAGGCCACAGCAGAGAGCTGGATGGGAAGTGGAGCAGCCGGGACTCGAACCGGCGCCCATATGGGATGCCAGCACGGCAGGCGGCGGCTTTACCCGCTACGCCACAGCGCCAACCCCTATGCGAGTAACTTTCGCAGGAGCAAAGCTAGAATGGCTGTCAGAGGGGAGACTGGTTTTTCCCGTACGTCTTAGCACTGCAAGGCCACGGCTGGCAGGTGGGGAGTGCAGACAGTGTGGATCTGAGAGACTTGAGTCACCTCCCAGAGAGAGAGAGAGCCCTTCCGTCTGCTGGGTCACCCCTCAAATGGCCACAGCGGCCAGGGCTGGGCCAGGCTGGAGCCAGGAGCCAGGAGCTCCATCCGGGTCTCCCACGTGGGTGGCAGGGCCCCCGAGCACTCGGGCCATCTTCACGTTAGCAGGGGAGCTGGCTCGGAGGCAGTGCAGCTGGGACTCGAACTGGCACTCGGATAGGGGATGCCGGCTTTGCAAGCCATGGCTTTAATCCACGGTGGCACAGGGTCAGCCCTGCGCTTATTTCGGGAATTTTCCATTTAGTGTTTTTGGACCGCAGGTGACTGCAGAGCCCGGAAATGGCAGGGCGTGGAACGGCAGCTGGATGCGAGCTGGGGTGGGGGCAGAAGGCTGGAGAGAGGTGGAGGGAGAAAGCGCCCACCGTCGCTCCGGCGGGGTGGGCCCCCAGCTGCCCAGGGTGGGGTCGGAGGTCAAGGCTGGTCAGAGGCGTGCCGGGGGTCAGGGCAGAGCCCGCGTGACCCCCAAAGTAGTCCCCTGTCGCTCATTGCCAGGTTCTCCCCGATTGCCATCGACGGCATGAGTGGCCTGGCAGGCGTGGGCCTGTCGGGGGGCGCGGCGGGCGCCGGCTGGTGCATCTTCGTCTACAACCTGTCTCCGGAGGCCGACGAGAGCGTGCTGTGGCAGCTGTTCGGGCCGTTCGGCGCAGTGACCAACGTCAAGGTCATCCGCGACTTCACCACCAACAAGTGCAAGGGCTTCGGCTTCGTCACCATGACCAACTACGACGAGGCGGCCATGGCCATCGCCAGCCTCAACGGCTACCGCCTGGGCGAGCGCGTGCTGCAGGTGTCCTTCAAGACCAGCAAACAGCACAAGGCCTGAGCCGCCGCCGCCCCGCCCCTCCCCGGGCCGCGGGGGCAGAGAGAGAGAGGGGAGAGAGAGAGAGAGAGAGAGAGAGAGAGGAGAGGAGAGGAGGGGCCGAGAGAGACAGCCAGGCACACCCACGGATGGACCTGCGCCCCTGCGGAAGCCACCGGGTGAGCATGCCAGGGGCGGGGCGGGCAGGTCTGTGGGGAAGGGGGGGGTGCCCCAGGGCCCCCCGCCCCGCCCCACCCCGTCTCCCCGCCCCGCCCCCTCCCTGGGCTGAGCCATTCTCTCTTGGTCTGGCTCATGTCAAAAGTTTTCGTTTCTTTTCTTTGGCTAAAAAAGAAAGCAAAGATGTGCCCCCTCACCCCACCCACCACACCACCTGGGGGATGGCTTGGAGGGGCCCAGGGGGCCGCCCCACCCCCACCCCGGGGCCTCCCCAGCACCTCGGTGGGCCTGGGGGAAGGGGGAGGGGGGAACAGGTTTAAAAATCCCCAAAAGAGCGAAATGTGAGGAGGGGCGCGGGCACCCCCCCGGCCCCCCTCGGAGCCCCTCGGAATGTGGGGAGCAGTGCTGGGGGCGGGGCTGGAAGCAGAAGCAAAACAGAAAAAAAGGGGGGGTGGGAGGGAGAGAAAAACTCTATTTTTGTAAAAAGGGATAAAGACCTCGTGGAGAATTTTTACTGGGGATTCTTGAACTTGGAAAAAAAAACACACACAAAAAGACAAAAAAAAAAAGAAACTATTTTGGCAGGTTAATGTTTACCAACTTGGGGGGGCGGGGCCGGGAGCAGGGGCTGGGCGTCCACAGGGCCAGACAGACAGACGGACACAGAGACACGCCCCCGGGACAGGTGGACACACAGGTGCACAGGGGAGCCCAGAGAAACAACGGACACAGCGGTGCGTGGGCGGCCGCGGGGAGCGCCGGGCACACACAGACCCCCACCCAGCCGCCTCCTGCTGGGGCCCCGCCCCCGCCTGCCAGAGCTCTCTCCTAGGGGCAGCTGTCCCAGCTGCCCAGCGACAGGCGTGCACGCGGCGTCCGCGCGTCCAAACACACGATACCTCGTTCCACTTTGGCGTCACGGTGGGCTGCTTCCAGCCCCGACCCCCCAACACTCGAGGCCAAAGGTCCCCCCTCCCCACCCCGCCCTCCGCCCCCTCCCCGGGCCACGAGGCTGATGGGGAGCCCCAGGCTCAGGGGTCTCCCCGACAGCAGGCACCCAGCACCCACCCTCCTGCCACTGACCACTGCCCACTGCTGGGCCCAGGGAGTTCGGGCTTGGGGTGGGAGGGGTCCCAGCCCCTCAGTCCCTTCCCGTCCGCTTGGCACCCCCACCTTGGGTTGCTGGGGTTTTTTGTCTCTCCAGATTGGGGTGGTCAGTGGACAAAGCCCCCATCCCCAGCCTTGCCCCCTGCCCCGCTCCTGGCCACACCCCCCACCCTGGCCCGGGGGCCCTGGTTTCTGTTGGGATTTTTTGCATTCACCCTAATTTTCATTCTTTTTTTTTTTACAAAAAAAAGAAAAAAAAGAAAAAAAATCCCAGCAGGAGCCAGAGCCCCCCGGGAGCCCCCCAGCGGGGCCTGTCGCACGGGGTGGGGGTGGGGGGGCTCCAGGCCTGTCTAGCGCTAGTTGCCTTCCGCGTCCGGTACGGGCACGACCTCATCTGAATGTCCAGCTCTCTCTCCCCGCCCTCCCCGTGTTATCCAACGCGTCTAACGGAGCTTCTGCGGCAAGGAACGGAAAAAAGAAAAAAAAAATCAAAAAAGCGACAAAAACAAAAAAACAAACAAAAAAAAAACACCACAAGTGGAAGAGGAAAAAAAAAAAGTGCTGAAAAAATGTTAAAAAAAAAAACAACCCACACACAGAAGAGATTTAAAAAAAAAGGAAAAAAAAAGACACAAACTGGCACCAGTTAACTTTCTTGTATTTTTGCTGAATCTAGCTTCTTGTAGTTTTAACTTATTGCTATGTTAACTATTTATCATCCCGTTGCCCTGTGAAAGCATTCGTGTGCATTTCTGTTCCTCCATCCGGTTTGCAAGTTAAAAGAATGATGTTCTTTGTTTTTCTTTTTTTCAGTTTTGCTGAGACGTGGTTATGCCTAATTTATTTATAAAAGGGGAAGTGGAATCATAAAGTAATAATAATTCTTATTAATAACAGTGCCGGTAGCCGAGTGGCTCCCGGGGCGGCCGTGGGCTCTGAGCGGATTCCCGGCCCGGGGCCCCCGGGGGTCTCCATGGGTTATTTTTTGCTGTTGTCTTGAATCTTTTTCAGTCCTACTTAGCTGGTGGAAACCCTATACAGGAACCTATTTATTCTCGTGGTTGTAAGTCCACCCTTCTCTCCTCCTTCCAGCGGCGCCCCCACCCCCGCTGTAGCCGGGGCTCCCCTCAGCCCTCCGGTGTGCTGCAGGCATCCGAGCAATAATGGCTGGGCTTGTTCCCCACCCTGGGGGGGCCGGGCTCCGGGCGGGGGCTCCTCCCCACACACCCTGCGCCCAGGCCTGGGTCCCTGCCAACCCCGAGACTGGAAGGGGGCTTTTTTTAAAAAAAAAACAAAACAAAAAACAAAAAAACAAAAAAGAATTCAGCCCAGCCGGGCCCCCTTCCCTGGAGGCCAGCCCCTCCCCCCAGGGGGCCAGGCCAGGGCTCCCAGGGTGGGTGGGAGGGCCCTGGGGTCTTCCAAGTCCCCTTGGGGTCAGGGGCAGGGCCAGTGGGGAAGGGGCTCAGCCCCTACAACCCTCCCTTCGTCCTGTTATTTATTCGAAAGGTTTCAGATCACCAGAGTCCGTGTTGGAGGTGAGAAAGAACTGTAAAAATAAAAAAATTAAAAAAAAATTAAAAATGATAAAAAGACCAAAAAAAAAAAAAAAAAAAACACCAAACCACCAAGAAACACTTTGCGTTGCGTTTAGACTATGACCGGGGTCACAGGCCCGGCCGCGGTAACAGACTTTTACATGGAATTGTTTAATTATTTGTACTTTTCATGCCAGAAAATAAAAGTTCAGAATCTTACAGCCTCGGCTGGTGTGTGTGCCTGGCGCTCCTGGGTGACTCGGGGAGGGTGGTCCAGGGCCCACCCCCCGCTCCGTCCTAGGATGGGGCTGTTCTAAACGTATTCGACACAGACGAGGACGCCCGAATGTCCCTGGCGCCCAGGGCTGGGCCCGGCTGCCGCTGGGAACTCCCATCAGGGTCTCCCATGGGCTGTGGGGGTGGCAGAGCCCCCATACTGGAACCATCACCTGCTGCCTCCCAGGGTGTAAGGAAGCTGGAGGGGCTGGGAACTCGACCCCCGGGGTCTCTGGTCCCCCGAAGGCGCCCAGCCCCGCCTGCCTCACGCCACTGCTGCCAAGTCCCCCACCCCCTCACCTGCCCCCCACCCCCACCTGCCCCGCATCCACTCTGCCCAGGTCCCCCCCCACCTCCACTGCTGCCAGGTCCCCCACCCCCACCTGCCCCGCGTCCACTCTGCCCAGGTCCCCCACCCTCCCCTACCGCAAAGCAAGGCAGACCCCACAGAGCTGAGGAGACATCACATTTATTGTTTCAAGGTCACAGGTCAAGTTTGTCACTCATCTCCACGGGGGGGGGGGGACAGGGGCGGCCGGCCTGGGGCCCTGGCCAGCGGGCAGCTGCTTCATTCTGTCCTGGGAGGCCGCTGGGGCCTGGGGGCATAGCTCGGCCCCCACCGGGTCCCACGCAGCTCCTGGCCCCGCGCGGGAGGGCGCGGGACCCAGAGGAGCAGGCCTGCAGGGGCTGGTTTCACACCTGGAGGCTCTGGGGTGGGGGGAGAGATGCGGGTGAGCTGGAGGCGGGCCGGGGCGCCGGGCCGGGGGTCTGCCTTCCTCGGCCCCCAGCCCCTGCCCACCTCCGCGCTGGCTAGAGCTCGTCGTGGTCGCCGTCGGCGGGGGCTTCCGGGGGCGGCTCGGGGCAGGCGGCCGGCGTCGTCAGCTCCATGAGGTACTCGCAGCGGCTGGGCTCCGTGGTGCTGGTCACCGCCGTCTCCTTCCCGCACAGCAGCCGCACCTGGGGAGGGGGGGGGGCGGGCGGTGGCGCGCGCGCGTGGGCCTGGGTCCCGCAGCCCCCGGCCCGGCCCGCCCCGCCCCGCCCGGCGCGGGCACTCACGGTGGTGGAGCGGTTGGGGCCCTGCCAGCAGCCCGTGCCCTGCTCGTACTTCATGGCGCTGAACTTGTCGTGGTCGGGGCCGGCCCAGGAGCCCCAGGTGCTGCGGGAGAGCGGAGAGCGCTGAGGCCGGGGCGGGGCGGGGCCGGCGGGGCGTGCTGAGGCCCGGGGGGGCGGGGCGGGGCCGGGGGCGGGGCGTGCTAAGGCCCGGGCGGGGCCGGGGCGGGGCCGGCGGGGCGTGCTGAGGCCGGGGCGGGGCGGGGCCGGCGCGGCAGGGCGGGGCGTGCTGAGGCCGGGGCGGGGCCGGCGCGGCAGGGCGGGGCGTGCTGAGGCCGGGGCGGGGCCGGCGCGGCAGGGCGGGGCGGGGCCGGCGCGGGGCGGGGCGGGGCGGGGCCGGCGCGGGGCGGGGCGGGGCGTGCTGAGGCCCGGGCGGGGCGGGGCGGGGCGGGGCGGGGCCGGCGCGGGCGCGAGCGCGGGCACCCCGAGGCACTCACCCGAGGTTAGTGGGGGAGCCGCCGAGCTTGGGCTTCTGGGAGACGAGCTTGAAGGGGCAGAGCCTGTAGACGTACCTGGGGGCAGGCGCGGCGGGTGGGTGGGTGGGGGGAGACGCGGGGACGCCCCTCCCCGCCAAGCACTGCGCCGCCGGCCCCGCCCCCGGCCCCGCCCCCGCGGACGCACTCGTTGGTGGTGAGCTCGTAGCACTGGCTGTACAGGTAGGCGAACTCCCCTTGGGGTCCAAAGTCGAAAGAGATCTCCTGCTCCAGGTTCCTGGACCGGGAGGCGGGCGGTGAGGGGCGGCCGGCCAGGGCCGCGTGTCCCGGCCTCCCCCGGGGAGCCCGGCCCCGCAGGCGCATGCCTGCCTGCCTGCCTGCGTCCGGTACCTGATGGACTCCTCCATGTCCTTCAAGGACCGCTCGGCCTCCTCAAACTTGCCCCGGGCCTCCTGGGCAGCTGGCAGGGGTGGGGGCGGGGTCAGAGGCGCCCCTCCCCCACCCCGGACCCACTCTCCCGCGCAGCTGGCTCGTGGCCGCCTGGGTGTCACAAACATCATGGGAACGGCTGCCCCGGGGCTCCCCAGGTCACAGGGCCTGCTGGGAGCAGGTGCGGCCACAGCGTGCACCCGCACAGGTGCAGGCAGGGGTTGGAGAACGGGCTACGGTGCCCGGGGGACACAGGGGGCCCATCTTGGGGAGAGGGAGGCCCCCCGACCAGGGGTGGCCCTAACCGTCAATCAAGGCCTGTGTCTGCTCGTCGTACGGTGGCATTTTGTCCTCCGCGGTGCTGGGTGGCTGGGGGGGCGCGAGTGGGGGCGGGGCCTCCTGGAAGGGAGAGGGGTGGTCAGTGAGCAGCCCCTCCCCTGCCTCCCCAGCTCCGCCCTCCAGCCCTCGGGAACCCGCACCTTGGGCTGCTCCCCCGGCACCTCGGAATCCTCCTCTTCCTCCTCCTCCTCCTCCTCGTCCTCCGCCTCCTCCTCCTCCTCCTCGTCCTCCTCCGTGGGCGGTGGGGGCACAGGCGGCTGCTCCTCCTTAGGCGCTGTCACATCAGGGGCGGGGGGTGCCGGCGGCTCGGCGGGCAGCGCCTGGAGGGCAGGGGCGGGGGTGGCCGGTGCGGTGGAGGGAGGGGGCCGCCGTGGAGGGCGCGCGGGCGGCCCAGCTGGCCAGGGTGGCCCCGTGCCAGGACCGGAAGTGGCCCTCTGCGCGCAGCGGGGGCAGGGCAGGCGCCACCCCTCCCCCTCCCCCTCCCCCACCAACCTCGGACCGGTACTTGTCCCTGATGGCGGCCCAGACAAGGTCGTAGAAGGAGGCGGCGTCCGTGTGCGCGTCTCCCCCGAGGAGGGACTGCGGGGGCAGGGGCGGGGCCGCGGTGTCAGGGTGGGGCCTGCCCTCAGCACCCAAGGCCCCCGGGAGCCTCGGGCTGCGGTGCCAGGCACAGGGCGAGCCCGCCTGGCTGCAGCCAGAAGGGGGCAGTGCAGGCCGGGGGAGCACAGAGCGAGGGTGGGGGCTGGGGAGACCCAGCGAGACCGGGTCAGAGAGGGAGGGAGGGCGGGGCTGCCTGAGGTGGCCGTGGCCGCCAGTGATCCCTATAAGGCCCAGGCCAGGGCCAGGCTGGGTACCTGGGCTTCCCCTTCGGACAGCGTGCCGTCCCCATCCGTGTCCAGCTCAGGGTGGGTCTGCAGCTCGGCCAGTGAGACCCTGCAGGGGTGCCAGGTGGGGGGAGGGGGTGAGGACCGCGGCCACCATGGGCGCCAGATCTTCCCTGGGGACCCCCAGGTGCCGGGACGGGAGAAGGCGGGGACTGAGAAAGGGGTCGGGAGACACCTGGGGTCCCGCCCAAGTCCACAGAGACCCCTTGCCCAACCCAGGGAGCTGCCCTCTGCCTCCGCCCCCAAGCGGTGAGGCCCCGCCCACCCAGCAGCAGCAGCACACGGGGCACAGAGGGCCTGGGACCCTGGCCCCAGCGGGGCCCCGCGCGGCCCGAGCTCGCTCACCTCCCATCCAAGTCGTCGTCCAGCTCCTGGAAGGCCTCGGCCGCCAGCTCCTGCTCGCGCTGGGCCTTGGAGGCGGCTTGCTGCTCTGTGGACGGAGCGGCGCCGTCACCGGGGCCTGCCCCCACCCTGCACCTCCCAGGAGCACCCGGGGCAGGGAGGGACAGGCCCGGGAGTGGGTGGGGTTGGGGGCCCCCCCGCATCTCATAGGGCGGAGCCTGAACTAGGCCTCCCAGGGGACAAGCTGGGGGGTCAGGGCCAGCCCCTCCCCACCCCGTGGGTGCCAAAGAAGCGCCAAGAAGGAGCCAGCGCTGGGTGCCATGGCTGAGCTGTCGGAGGGCCTGGCTCTGCTGGAGGTGGCCGAGGTGGCCGAGTTCCCGGCTCCTGGCTCTGACCTGGCCCACCGTGGCTGCTGTGGGTGTCTGGGGAGTGAACCAGTGGGTGGAAGACCCCTCTGCATTTCAAACAAGTAAGATAAAAGACCCGGATGGAGCTCCGGGCTCCCGGCCTCAGTGTGTGCCTGGCCCGGCCCTTGCTTCCACCAGCGGATGGAAGACCTCTGTTTCTCCCTATCACCCTGCCTTCTGCGTGAACAGAGATACAAGCAAAGGACGGGAGAAGGGTGCAGTTCTGGGAGGTGCTAACGGGGGCCGGGTCAGAGGTCAGGGGGCAGAGGGGATGGAGGACGCCCAGCAGGGGCTGGGAGGGTGACTGGGCCAGGTGGCGCCCTGGGAGTGCCGAGGGGCTGTCCCCAGAGAGCGGCACAGACGGAAGGGACGGAGCCACCCCTGGGATCAGGCCCCTCCTCGTCCGCCTCCTCCCCTCCCCCCCCAGCCCCGTCAAGCCTGGGGTCTGTGCAGAAGTGGTGCTCGGGCCGCTGAGCTGGGCCAAGCAGGGCCTGTGTCAACCGAGGGGCCTGGCCGTGTCAATAAAACTTTATTTATATAGAAAAGCCGAGCGTCACTAGAGGACCAGAAGCCCAGGGCCTCCAGGGTGTGGGAGGCGCGGGAGGCTGGGGGGGAGGGGCGGGGTACGGAGAGAGGCTGGAGTCCGGACAGGAGTTCCCAGCCCCACAGGGAGAAGACACAGCCCCGGGGCTGGGGACGGCAGGGACCAAGGGCCCTCACGTGGGATCCCTTCCCCCAGCCCCACCCTCGCTTGCTGGGACCCAGCAGTGGGCTCCCTGCTGGTCTCTGAGCTCCTTCCTGCCTCACCCCTCCCCACTGGAACACCGAGCCTGAGCCCTCTATAGCTCCCACTGCTCCTTAAAACCAGACACAAAGTTGCCTCAGGGCCTTTGCACCTGTTCCCTCCCTCCACAGCCAGCGGCGCTGACCAGGGCTGCACACGGCACACAGCAGGGGCCTAGCAAATGTGCACAGAGCTGCCTGTCAGGAGACACCAG